TCCTTGCGGCGGGAGCGCTAAATGCTCTCTCGTTCCTAAAAGGCTAGTGCGCGAATAATAAACTAGAAAAAGAGAAATAAAATTACTCTTTAGCAACCCTTAGATAAGGTGAAGACTGTATCTGCACATTTACTGAACCCGCTTTTCCCTGGAGTTGGATTATTCCCTTTGGCACCTGGGACTGCATGCCGATGTTTGCAATTCCGTTGCAACTAGAAACCTGAATGTGTTGGGACTATCCCATCTCAGGGATGGAAGAAAGGAGGGAGATTTTTCCAGTCCTTGGAATGTAGAAAGCAGCTGTGAAGCTATTTCTGTAAGCTGATGGACTGCCGTTCACTTTCTGTAGACAATCAGAAATGGCATGGCCATTTCTTCTGCCATCTCCAGAGAGATCCCCCAAGGTAATGTGCTGGAAGCGCCATTGGTAGCAAAGTTCCCTCCCTTTAACACCACCTCACTTTTATTATTTCACCCCCTTTCACTTTTATTACGGAAATTCAATGGCACTGAGGAGTCTGTGCACACAGAGACAATTAGGTTTTCTGTTGGAGCAGTATTTTAGGGTCCCCCATTTCTCTTGCATTGCTCCAGGCTTTTGGGTGCAGCAGAGTGAGCAGCAAAGCACTGGTAAATCGATGGCAGCTGAGTCAGGCACAGCCTAGTTTTACAGGCTGCTCCAGCTAAAGCCCTTCCAGGGCAGAATGAAGGCATGCCCGAGAGGGGATCCTGCCTTCAGCAGACATTTTAAAGTATGTCTTATGCAGTTCCAGCTTAAGAAAGCATAAAAAAGACCTGGTTTGGCAAGCGTAGATGCATTTAGTCGGAGTGGAGCCCAAAGCGCAGGTAATTCCTTAGCTCCCATCCAGTTTTTTGGGTGTGCGGTGGCTAAGCAGCCCTCTCTGGGAGGCAGTTGTACAGCTCCAGGTGGCAGCTCACCTTTTGGGGTAGCCCCAGGGGATGGGGGGTGTTGAGTCTTGAGCCTCTGCAGTCTCCAGCTCTCATTGATATCCATGTCCTCAGGGTTTCTGTGGTGAGCAAGTCACTGTTACAATGGGAAAATAGCAGCAAAAGCAGATAATCGGTGCTGTGGGAAACAAAAATGTCTTTGCACCACTTCTGCAGTCCCTGGTTGGTGTCTTTTGCCAGGCAGCCTTCTATCCAGCTAACTTCTTTTAAATGTGCCGTCTTGATTATAATATCCCACTATTTCCACTGCCATTTGCCAACAGTGTTTTCTTTGGTGAAGGTAGCAAGGTAATGCCAGCATCCATAGTCCAAATTTCACCTTACTTTTTACTAGACCTCTGATCTTATTTCCAGAGTGGCTCCAGCCGAGCCTGTGATGCCCACACTGATTTTTCCACCGAAGCACAGGAAAAGGAGCAACCCCAGAAGATGAAAGTTCACCCGCCTGACAAAGGGGAGGGCAGGGGCTGTAGTTTACAGCTCCTATGGTGCAGAGAGTGGCATGCCTTGCAGGAGGGGGAGTTGGTTGATTGCATGATAGTTTAAAATGGATGGAGGGAAATAGGTGTGAGAAAGAGGAAGAGCAAAATATTGTTGTCTGTGAGGACTGGGATGAAGACTGGGGGGAGCCATGAGTCACCAGACAGGAGAGTACATTTAAAGTAAAAGCCCTGCCATCACCAGCTCCTGCAGGTTCCTGCTCAACGTTTCTGTGCCTGCTCCACTAGCTCCACATGTGGGTGCTTCCCTTGCACTCGGTGGTTTTGCTGCTGGGAGAAGGAGCTCTAGGCTGCACAAACCAACTCTCCCACATCTCCTAAGGTGCAAAGGCAATGTGTGTTAACATGCAGTTTGGGATAGAAATATTTGACCTTTCTCAATATTGTGATGTTGGGGAGGACATCAATGTCCTCTCCTCTGTGCCTTCCCACCACTATGAAAGGGCATCCTGAGGTCAGGATTATTCCAGGGTGCAGCTTCTCATGGTACCTCAACACCAACATGCTCTGTGCATGTGGGAGGGAGCCTGACTTGTGTGGTTTGACTATTGCAATGTGATTCTGTCTCACAGGAGTCACAACAGAGGAGAAACTGGTGCTAAATTATACTCTCTATGAAATGCAGAAGTTTCTCTATTAAAAAAAAAAAAAAAAAAAGAAAAATATTATTTGAGACAGTTATACAGCTAATGGTGGGTTAGGAGAAAGTAATGCTTAATGTGTAACTCTTTTTTGTTTCTGTATTGGAATATTTTGAATCCTCTGAGGTTGTCCCACCCATTTTAATTCTTGGACTAGACCATTTTTAACTCTAGAATTCATGCATCTTTTTGTAAAATAATTATCATCTTCATTTTCAGCAAATTCCACTGGCATCTGGCACTGCTTATATTTGAAACTTATTTTTTCTTTTTCCCCTCTATGGAACCAGAAATTAGCCTGTTAGCTTGTGCCACAGCAGGGGTTTTCGTGCACTGTTATTGGCGTTTGACTTGGTTGGCCCTGGCATTAACGGTTGGAGGCAGTGAGACCGCTTCTGTGTTTCAGTACAATGGTGTGTGCCTGCAAGGCCCCAGTGGCATCCCCGGGCGAGATGGAAACCCGGGAGCCAACGGGATCCCCGGGACACCTGGGATCCCGGGACGGGACGGGCTGAAGGGGGAGAAGGGCGAGTGCATGCGTGAGAGCGTCGAGGAGCCCTGGACGCCCAACTTCAAGCAGTGTTCCTGGAGCGCCCTTAATTACGGCATCGACCTGGGGAAGATAGCGGTAAGTCAGCTCCGCCCGGGACGCTGCCCCTCGCCAGCCGTGGGCGCTGGGGGCTCGGGCTGCCTCTACGAGCTGGGTAGCACCATCATCCCTATTTCATGTCAGAGCCTTTTTCTACGTGCAAGGTTGAACTTCTCAAAGGTTTAGCTGTTTTGGATTCATCTCAGCTGTGTTTCACAACTATGTGCCCATTTAATTTCTGTAAAAGTGTTTCAGAAGAATGATGTGGCTGGTCAAAGAGTACATTTAGAAGACCAGATCTGTAACTGTAAGGCTGAAAGTCACAGTACCAAAAAAGTACCTCCAGCTTGCCCAAAAGAGGGTAAGGTTTTTACCATGTCAGTCATAAGGAAGAGGAGAGATGTACATCTTTCATCTGTTAATTGTACCTGTCTTTAACTCCTGCTTCAAAATGGTTGTACGCTGAAACTCAGCTGCAGGATGCTACTGCAAAAAGGTTCTGCTACTGCATGGTTCAGGAGCAGAATTAGCAAGTGTTACCCAGACTGACCCAAAGAGTCTGTCCTCCGCTTCAGCCCTGGGTATGAAGCAAGGAACTTTGAAAGACAACGGGGCAAGTCTGGAAGAGAGGAAGAAATCCCAGCTTGATCCCAGCTATGAAGCTGTGCCCAAATTGGTTGGAGTAATTCAATTGCTATTGCTGTGGCTAGAGTGAGAATCAACTTTTTTTCTGAGTAGACATTTCTCACTGCCTCATACTTGCAGAACTGCCCCTAGCTCTCTTCGCCCCTCCCCCCCAGTATCCAGTGTTTTAAAGACATAGTAAGAACCTCTTAAAAAAACTGGAAATATTTCTTTTCAGTTGTGGAGCTCTTACTAGGCTTTAAGCCTCTCACAATTATTATCTTGTGATAATTGTGAAAGCCAGGACTTCCCGTAACAAAGCCACAAATTGTACTGTCCTCTCACGCAAGACTTGAGTGCAGCTTTCAGACAGCTGATACCCCTATACATAAACCCTAGAAGGTAACTAGGTTACCAACTTAACGGCAAGTATTATCTAAATAATAAATTTCCATAATCCCCCATCTCCATTACCGCCTATGAGTCTCTGTTTTGGATTTGCATCTTTGCATTGTGTGGTATTTGCCCACTTTTTTTTTGGGGGGGTGGAGGGAAGGGACTAAAGGGAATAGCCAAACATTCTGAAATAGATAGAAATATATTCCTAATATATTCCTAAATATGTTCCTTAACGATATAGGAAATAAGTTAAAACCCACAGGACTTGTGTCTCCCGCCAGGAATGCACGTTTACGAAGATGCGCTCCAACAGCGCGCTCCGCGTCCTCTTCAGCGGGTCGCTGCGGCTCAAGTGCAGGAGCGCCTGCTGCCAGCGCTGGTACTTCACCTTCAACGGAGCCGAGTGTGCCGGGCCGCTTCCCATCGAGGCCATCATCTACTTAGATCAAGGAAGCCCAGAGCTGAATTCTACTATAAATATACACCGGACTTCTTCAGGTACGTATGCTCAGACTGCACAAACAGAGCTGGAGTAGAAGCCAGTAGCAAATCTGGTTACCAAATTCAGAGAGTACAGTCTGCCTTGGAAGGGCAAAGGACTGAAAGAAGAGACAGAAGAGTGGCCAGCTAGCACTTGTTACCACCGTTGACTATCAATACTAACAGTATTAGAATTATTTATCAAGTGGCATTTTATTACTGTGGTGTTTTTCAGGATCCTTACATTCTGCCACTTTGAAACGGAAGAGATTTCTATCCAGGCAGTTCTACAACACGAGTACAGCTGAGCTGTACTTGCCTATGGAGAAACTGCCTTACTGCCAAGTAGACATTGTCATTCTGGCTTAAAATACTGATACTTGCGCATTATCTGTGCATAAAATGAGACTTGTTCCTTCTGGAATTTCTACTATAATTTCAAGTGGGGCACAAAAATACCTCCAAAGTGAAATCTCTGGGAACAGCTACTCAACTGCTAAGCAGAAGGCAAATTAACATTGAACATAAGAGGAAGCAACAGTAGGAGAAGGGGACTAATGTCATGTTTATCCTCCTCCATTTTCCTCCCTGTACTATTTCAAGACTGCATGAAATCTTAATGTCTAGAGGCATGATAGGGTTTTTTTTCTATCAAGGGGTAGGACTTGTCTGTTTTCATGAACTCGCCTCCAACTAGTGGTACTAGTAGGGAAAAAATGAAGGGCAACAGAACTGGAACTTTACATAGAAGCAGGGAATTAGCAGTGGAAAAGGTTACAGGGTGGCAGTCACCTTTGCAGGGCTTAGCTGTGGAAGGCAGGCATGGCTGTGTCCCCATCCAACCTCCCTACCACTGCTAAAAAGATGGCTGGGTGGGATTGAAGCCATGATCCAGCTACCAGTTTCTAAATTGGGATACTTAAAGACAGAGGTATACCTCCCATTTAGCCATTTTGTGGATTGTGATCTGCTTCTGGTGCTGGAAGAGACATTGAGAAACAGCATGGCTAATGCAGTGCATGACTCTGACTTAGGTTGCCACCTCTCTAAGTAAAAGTTTTTAATCCTAAAAATGCTATAGAGGTTTAACTACATACCATGAGCTTGCAGTGAACTGCTGTTCCTAAGTACTTGTGTCCACCTTCAGTGGTGAAATACAAAAAGTGATTGTGTCTCCTGAGGTAACCAGGTTTTTGTCTTTAACCAGTGGAAGGTCTGTGCGAAGGGATCAGTGCTGGCTTGGTGGATATTGCCATCTGGGTTGGGACTTGCTCAGATTATCCACGGGGAGATGCATCTACTGGATGGAATTCAGTCTCCCGAATCATCATTGAAGAACTTCCAAAATAATTTTCCCTCCCTTTTTATAATCTCTTTTTTAAAAAAATTTTGTACAATTTTCTTCAGAATTTATTTCTAGAGCTGGATGCAAGTATTTGACTGAAAGGCATCAAACTTGCATCTGGAGTCTTTGTCTAGCCTTTTTGCACACTGCAGGGTCTTTTTATAGCGACCATTTTAGAACATAAATATAAAAACTAAGTTCATTAACTTTTTTTAATTCCTTGTTTGACATATGAAAATATATCACCACCATTTTAAGAACCGACTGTAACTTTTTGTATCAAATAAATAAGACCTTTTACAAAAAAAAAATCTCCAGGAGATTTTATTGATCATCAAACTGCTTAAGATATTTTACATGGTATTATTATGATACACAATTGTTTCAGGAGACTTCATAGAAAGTTCCAAGAAAGTAAACTCAGGTCTTGGCTTGAGACTTCAGAAAACTTCTGCAAACCTGACTCCAGAGCAGGATGCTCTGCTGTTAGTCTTAAGTCTTTCAGTGAACTCCTGGTGACTTAACAGTGACCTAGATGATGTGGTAAGTGTCAAAGACCTTGTTCTGAAGAGCAACGTAAAACCAGACTAAGCTCTCCTCCCCTCTTTGGCTTCTTGATAAGACTGGATTTCAGTATGAATACCTGTTATTGGTCCTCACTGTTAGCATGTAGATATGAAATAATTTTACAGTTGCAAAACTTAATGTCATTGCTCAAAGAAAATATTTCTCCTGGATTTAGCCTTTCAGATAGGTATGAGCACTTTGGTGTTAGTTAAAAACCAGACAGATTATATAGTTTGGAAGACAGAGAAAGAAATCAGGTTGAAATGCCTTGGTTTTCAAAAAGTGTACTGGTAAAATGAAAGAATGATGTCGTGGCTATTTGACTGCAGCCTTAAGACTGGACAAGTGACAACACTGATCATTCCAGTACAGCATTAGCTTCAATGCTTTAAGTACTGTCTTCCAAATGCAACAAGTGATATACTCAAATATTTTAAAAAATGGTACAGATTCTAAAGGGAAACAATAGGCATGTTTACATCACAAAATCCATTTAACATTGGTGAAATTAAATAAACAAGAACAAGCATGTACAACATGCAGAAATTTACACTCTTCCCAGAAATTAAAAGGAAAAAGCATTAAATCTGAGATAAGGAATTATTTCCACTATTTCAGATTAAATCTCAGCTTTTTTCTGAACAGGTTATAAGATTTTTTTTTTTCCCCAGGCATCTTGCAAACTGGTGGCTGTTGCCTGTAGCTTTGGTAAGGGTGCTAGAGGAACACACCTGCAGTGGGGGAGCTTTCAGGCTTTCCCAACTGTGAGCTTACGTGTGATACTCCTGAAAGCCAGAAAATTATACAGCTGGTATTTTGTCTCTGAAGAACTCTACTGTTTTCATTGGCTTGGGCGATGGGTTTTAAGGTATCTGAACACAAACAAGTTACTATGAGCTAAGCTATGGTGTGAATTTATAGAATGTCAGTTAACATACAGTACCTGCTTGTGTACATGCTTGTAGCCTGTCTTTGCATTTATCCTGGAGCATACTAATCCAGGGTATTAAGTGTACAACTTACTCTTTTCTTAAGATTTCTTCGTATGGCTTCACAATATTTTTTGGACTCTGTGTGGCAGAGTTAACTCGATGTTCCATTAAATTCATTGTGTACTAGGATACACACAAAACCAACTAAACACCCTCCGAAGGCAGAAGTTAGTAGCTGTTAGGAATCTGTATAGTAATTTGCTTTGTAAAGTTCCAGTAATTTTGATCTTCAGCTAAATACACATGAAAACTTTCATAATAAAACCCACAGCCAACTACAGTGGTCACATGCACCCTCTCAGATGAGTTTATCAGCTCTATCACTAGAGGACAATGTGTAAATTATTACATGTCAACAGTATCAACAGAGACAAGAAAGTGGATTATTGCTGAATTAAGACTCACAATATTGAGCAGTTTCTGCAGTCTTCGCGATTTTAAACTTAAAATTGAAACCAGTTCCCTAATATTTTTTTTTTTTTAAATAAAAAATTCTTTATTTCTACTTTAGCTTAGCCTTCTGTTAAACAGGAAACTTCCCTAAAGTGATTATTCAGATGTTTTGCTGGGTAGTATTCTCCACCCTTTATGAAACTGATTATTTCCCTCTATCTGTTGAATAATCATTGCAAATTTATTTCCTTTTTAACTAAGTGATACTTTCTGGATACTTCTTAATATCTTCTTACTAGCAGCAGAACATAGATGTTATGACCAGTAATGTATTTTCTTACAGAAGAACTAAAAAAATAAAACAAAACCTAGATCTCCAGAAAGTACATATCCTTGATGGCAATTATTGGCCTGCGAATCAACATCATTTTTCTACAAATTTAATGAGATGTACTGTAATTTAGTTTATCACTGTTAGCAATCAATACGTTCTTGCAATCCTTTCTTTAGACCAAATCAAAAGATGTTAATGGACTGTTTTAGTTTTTTTAAAGAAAGTTCTGTGCATAATATATTTTAGACAACTTACAGATTTTTTTTTCCACAGACTATTACTGAAAATAAGCATGGCCATACTTGTTATTACAGTGTTTTGAATCACCACAGGATTACTCAGGAAAAAAACTAATTTAAAAAATGTAAGCCTACTTTCAAATATGCATTTACTTAGCAATAGTTGGTCAGATCTATCAGTAATGGAAACAAATTCTCAGGGAGGGAGGGGAGGCAGAGAAGAAAGAGAAAATTAATTAAGTAATTGGCCAGTGATGCACACAACATAACACTTTGGTCTGGTGCTAAAAAGAAGCCAAAAGCCACAATGCAAGTCTGTCCTGGTATGAGACAAGAAGTGGGTTTCATCAGACTGGCAGTTACTCAAACCCAAGAATGCACAGCTGTTTTACAAAACAATTTGGGTTTCCAAACTGTACCCCACTGAGGCTGCGTTTCTGTGTTGGATGAGCAATGGAATTTGGAACATTCCATACCCTAAAATCTGACAAATAACAGAGAGGTGGATTCAGAAGGCATTGCTGCGAACAACTACACACATACTGTATTCATGGGACTTGGATGAAGATTTAAGAAAGTTTTGACAGGCCCCAGAGGTGCTTTTATATGAAGTTTTCCACTTCTGGAGGAGTAGAGTCTGACCAACTGTTATCTTGAGACTTGTCAAAACAGATTAGTCCGTTATTCCAGGCAGGCCAGGATGAACTGAATTGCTGCACAGCTGCCTTCACCCAGTATCAGTGCTATTTTTTATTTCACAGTTGCAGCAACATCTGTTTCCAGCAGACAGAGCTGATTCACAGAGGAAGGCAGCAATGCAGGAACATTCAGCAGAAGAGATGTTGGCAAGGTTTTACTATCTCCAGCTTCTTTCCTCAAAATACTAGATCAATTCACAGTGTCAAAAAAAGACTGCTGAACTAAATCTTTCCCAGATCATAAATGTAAAACCATAAAGGATAGATTCCTCATGCACACCAAGCTCATACCTTTAATTATTCTCTTTTCTAAAACCAAGTAAAAAACTAGACACATTTTCATAAACAACAAAGGTAATACAGCAGGCAGGAGTCACTCTGATCACATTGGGGATAATTCCTTTGTAAAATCCATGAATTCCTTCTTTCCTTTAAAGATACAGAAAAACATTTAGTTTTAATTAACATCTTTTAAAAGCAAACAGACAAACCAAAGCCTGGCATTTTAATTTTCGTGCTTTCACTGAGAGAGGTACTTCAGGTTAGGAATAACGTTTTCACAATAATTTCTTACTACAGAGCCATAATCTTAACTTCTCCCAATTTGAATCAGAGTATTTATGCTAGTGCCGTTAAAAAAATTCCGTGACTTTTCATTTCAGCTCCCTGTTTTCCAGCTTCATAGATGTCTAGGACACCTGGAATGAGGAGTACAGCTAACACAGACCTTGGAAAGCCCTTGGGTGTAGTTTACACTACCCTCCCCAGGGCTCTTTGTGGCATCTGTTTCATAATGAGTGTGGCAGTGGCCCCAGGATAGCTGTATGCACTCACACTATCAGAACCAGCACCCTGCCCATAGTCTGCAGCACTGAAGGGCACAGTGCTGAGACAGAGCTATTTTTGCTTTGAATTGCTTTCAGTCAAATTGGTTGTACTGCCTCTGAGCCAGGGGTGGTCCTGGAGCAACAGTCTCATTCAGGTGGCACCTCTTAATATCCCAGGAGGTAACTGACTCCATTCAGGTCTCTCTAGAAATATGCTGCAACCAAGAAGCATTGTCCAAACCAAGATGAGTATCGGCTGCATACTGCAGAGGTGCCCCCACTGAGTAAATACAGAGTTCTGTGTGAAAACGCTCGCATCCCCTGTGGAGTGGCAGGAAGAGGGCTTGTGAAAAGCCACACAGAGGTGTGAGGTAACAGTTCTCCAAAGGTCCTGCGGGAAGCTGGGACTGGACTACAAATGCGGTCAGGCCCCAGGGTGACCCAGGGACATCAGTATAAACCGCTCTGGCTGGCTCACTTCCTCCTGCCAGGAACATGGATTAGTCACAACTCCCAGCAGCACAACACTCCTGTCATACGAGATAATCTAAAGCAGCTCAAGTCAGACCCTGTTGTTTAAGAGTCTCAAAACAGCCAACTCAATGTTATTTTTTAACCTGTAAGTGAAATTTTCTGGGGAAGAGAGAGGGAAGGCAGAATAAACAAGAGAAGCCTTCAGGCCAGCATTGACCCTCTCCTATCTCCTGCTCTGTCCTTAGATTACTGCTATTAGTGGCATCTTGCACAAAGTGACTTGGTACAGCTAACGTTTTGTTTCAGCTGTGCTGGTTCTGCAAATCGGTATGGAAGTCACGAAACACAGTTCTGATTCTGTAAGACTCAATTTGAGGATGTAAGCTTTTAATTCTGCATGCCTACCTCCACGTCCTGCGGATCACGTCAAACACACCAGAATATGTATTATGCTGATCTTGAAGACGAGCTCGCACAACTTGATAGGGATACGTTGCTGACACAGCAAATATTTTGGATACGGCTGCCATCATAATGTATTCCACAGTGTTCTAAAAGCAACAAAAATTACCAAGCTTAAGTATGGCTTAGATTAGCCAACTTTTCAAAACCTTATTTGATTTTTATGTTGAACTAAACAATATTCCAGAGTTTTCACCCTGATAATACACGCATTTAAAAAAAAAGGGAACATTTACTATATAAGTGTTACAAGTAATTAGGTGTAAAATGGGTTGTGTCCTCTCATTCCTATCAAGTTAAATACTTCTTCCAAAAGTAACTACCTTTGCTCAACTTGCACCTGACACGTTTTCTGTCTAAATGTTTAAGATCACCACCAAGGTTTCACAAAGTGAGAGAAAGAAACATTCCTCCCTTTAAAAATCTCAAAACACTTGCCAAAATAAGAAGTTGGTTTCCCTGTGGTAAAATAGTACTAACCAGTTGCTTGGTCCCACAAAAGGAAAAAGTATTATCTCCTTCTATATATTCTATATTCCAATTAATGTATCAACGCTTTGCACATTTGGCTGTTCTACGACCTACACAAATGGAATAAATTTCCATCTGTTCACATCCCACAACACATTTTTGTTCTCAAGAATCGTACCAATTTTGCATCTGATACTCTGTTTCTGTACGTGTTGTATCTCAGCTTCAAATCCTCATATGCCATGAACTGAAGTGCTCCATGTGAAGTTCCAAACAGACCAGGAACAAATCCCTGAAAAAATGAATAAACCAAGGTTAAACAGTAATGCACAAAAAATCTACAACTTCACAGAGCTCAGCTCACACACATAGACATGTCTCCATTACTCTAGAAGTTGTGACTGCACAACTGTCCCTGTGCAGTAGGACTCAAAGTCCGTTCTGGGTTGGTATTCTTAATGGCAGGCATCACACAAAAGTGTAATATATGTTACTTTTCTCCAAAATGACATACAGGCTAAAGACATCTAATGAGTGAACAAGATAAAACAAGTGGCCTAGGGACTCCACCTAGCTCAAACACAGGCCTTAAAAAGCTGGTAACATGGATCAGCACTGTACAAATACAAATGAAGCTGCAGTCTTACAAACACGGCGCTCACTGCCTGCCCCTTTGCACGGAGTGGCACTAAGCTGTTTAGTTCCCACCTGAGACTGGTAAGGCAATGACACAAGCTGGCATCTCAGTAAGATGGGCCATAGGGAGTAGACGTACAAAATAAATTACTGTGATCATGTCCTGGAGATAGATATGTAAGTGTGTGTGCAAATAAATGTGTATCTATGAGATATATACGCTTCTATCTAAAAAATGTCTGTAGAATTATAGAATCATTTGGGTTGGAAAGGACCTTTAATTATCAAGTCCAACCATTAACCTTACAATGCCAAGGTCACCACTAAACTAGGTCCCTAAAAGTCTTTTAAATGCCTCCAGGGATGGTGACTCCCCCACTTCCTGGAGCAGATCAGCCTGGTCCAGGGCTTGAGAACTGCTTCGGTGAGGAAATTTTTCCTACTAACTAAAATAAACCTCCCCTGGTGCAACCTGAGGCTGTTTTCTCTCGTCCCATCATTTGTTAATTGGAAAAAGAGACTGAAACCCAACTTGCTACAACCTCCTTTCAGGTAGTTGTAGAGAGTGAAAAAGCTTCCCCTCAGCCTCCTTTTTCTCAGGCTCAACAACCCCCATCCCTCAGTTGCTCCTCATAAGACTTGTGCTCTAGACCCTTCACCACCAGGAAGACAAAGCAGTCTGGGGGATGTTCTCCATTTGTAAGAGGCAATAATGGACACCAAGATTATAATATGAAAATATACAGACACCTTCTGTTTCAACTTTTTTGAAAGAAAAGGGGAAAACATTCTTTGAAATGTCTCTACAAGAAAGAAAAGGCAGGAGTTTCTTCAGGAGCAAGACTAGCTCATTTGAACACGAGCTGACAGCTGCACGAGTTCTGAGAAGAACTACTAGGTCTCTTGTTGAAGAGTTGGTCACTTACACTGGAAAAATACAAATATATGGGGAATTAATCATCTTGGCCAGGAATGATCTAAGGGAGCCAAAAGCTTGCTGAAAACTGTTGCAAAGGGACAATTACAATGGAATAAGTGATCAAAATGTGGGTAGAAGAATTGAAAAAAATAAATCAGAATTTCCCTAAAGATATCGGTATTGAGCAGTTTTATCTTATTTCCCATGATCCACTCAGGTAAGACAGAGGAATTAAAAGCTACGTCCAGGCACAAATCTCTGTATTAGACTAAATCAGAAGCCCAGAAGGTTGAATAAAAGCTTATCAATACCCTATTCAGAGCCTGGAGAAAGAGGGGAAAAAAAAGAGAAGGGATCCTGGTAGGAGTCCACTGAAGTGGTGGAACAAGACAAAATAATAAATTACTTCATAAACTCCTAACTTGCAGGAAAAAAAAAAAAACAAAAACCAACAAACTAAAACAGCAGCAAGCATAAAAATTGCACAGAGCTTCTATCGCTTCAGAGATTAGCTCTCTGCATGCTATAGATTTTGTTTGTTTATATTACAGCCATTCAGGAAGTGATTTTTAGGGTTTCTTTGATAAATGAGGATGTGTTTCTTGTCACAGTAGAAAATAGTGGTCATGAACTAATCATCAGTGACCATGAACTGATAAAATGCATTAAGGACTAGCTAAAGCCCCAGAACACTTCCCCAAATAAGAACAAGTGGAATTGAACCACGCATCAGTATTTTGTCAGCTGCAAGCTAATCATAGCATTTTGTGGGGAGCCACAACCAAGGGAAAAGACAACTCTGTATTTCAGAAATCCTAGATCAGAGAAGAAAATTAACCAGTAATATAAAAACAGCAGAGAAGGAACAGAGAAAACCAAAATTATTGAGAACATCAAAGAAAAAATTATCTGGGTCAGCAGAACAAGGAACAGGATGAAAATTATGTATGGTGATAGCAGGGAAATTCTTCACAAACATTTGTCCCTGATTAGACAGTAAAACCATTAAAAGGCAGAGGAAATAATTGCTCTCTACTTGGAAAAAATTAGAATGATGATGTATTTATATCATAGGAGAATGAGGTAATATTTTTCCCCACTGACAAAAGAATGTTAAATAATATTGAAGAGTGCTAAAGTCTTAAATATAAGCCAGCAGATTTGGATAACTTGCACCCAGGAGTCCTAAAGCATTTACTGATGATACTTGCTAAATGAATACCAGCACACTCTAAGTCTTGTGCTGATGGGGAAAGCTTCCAAGGACTTTTAATATTGGGCCAATACTAAAAAATGCAAGAAGGGAGTGAGGCAACTGTCAGCCAATGTGCCTCAGTAAAATAAGAGCTGACCCAGGCTTCTATTGATCATACAAAACAATGTGTTTTTAAGGAAACGTTTCAGAGCAAAACTGATTTCTTCACAGTAACGAAATATCTTGGCTGAGGAAGGTTTTGAAAAACATTCCTG